GGACGCCGTTGATAAGTACTGATATTGTAAATAGTGCTTTGGAACATGGCATGCCGTTGAAAAACAATTCGAAATGGATCGAAACGATTGATGCTAATCACATGATCTTGGCATGCGAAAATCCGTTTTAAGCGCGCTGCGTGAGGTGACGGTGAAAACAGTGATGGCTGATGCGTGCGAACAGTTCAATTCCGAATCTTTCCGTTCGAACTGCACACATAAATATCATTCTTCGGAGTTTTGTTACACTCAAAAACAGGCTTTCTCACGTGAATGTGAAAAAGAGCAGTGTGTGGGTTGAGATGTTTGTGTGACAGGGGGAGAAGAACTTGAATACAAGTCACGCGTAAACTGTGAAATAGCAATTATGGATTGGGAAATTTGACATTCGATTTCCAAGCATTGGGGAGAAATAATTCACAGGTCAGAGAGTTCATAAATAAAAAGATTATTGCATCATGATGGTTTTCATAGATAGTTATTGGAAACTGTTAATCAGTTTACATTGTGCATTTTCATTGCTGAAAAATGCGAATTTTTCCTAATCATATCGAACAATGGAAATGGAAACAAACAGAGATGACCTTTGTTGATGTGACGTCATTAGTGCAGAGCATACTTCATTTGTAAAGATGATACTTTTTGGTAGCAAGATGCCTTTGAATCATTCTGTACACTTGCTTACACCTATCTTTCAGTGCCACCCCAGAAAAATATGCATGGCTGGGAAGAAAGACGCCATAGCACTTGATTTATAGACGTACTACTATGATGAAGTTGAGTTGATTAGAACATTGAAATTTGTGTATATTAAGACACGAGCATTGCGACCTCATACATAGTAGGGGATGCAACCGTCAAGCTAATGAGATCACCCTTTGAATCTCCATTAGTCGGTATATATACTACCTAAACAAATCAGGATTCGGTTCAATGCGTATTTGACTTGCGTTCTACTTGTGAGGTCTCAGATTCGATCTCCATTGGATTGGGTGTTACAAGATAGGTGGAACAAGGCGTATGATGCAGCATTTATTTTGAAACAGTGCAGTTCCGGAGCCGTATTGGTCAATCGACACTGTTCGAGAGGAGTTAAGCTCTCTAGCCTCCGAAAGCCTCAGTATGGTTGGGGTTGGGGTCTTGGGTTGTGGCTGATCACCCTTCCTTTGCCCTTCATGAAATGCTCCTATACGACCACGTTTCTCAAACAGCCTCTTCTGAGAAAGCCCTACTTACTGCGGAGTTTTGCACCAAAGTGAGGAGACGAATATCCAATATCCGGGTTGATGAACCACTGGAATTTTACTTAGGTGTGTTGGCTAAAACCTTGATTCCAAACCAGCCAAGGTAGGGCGTAAGAACCACACACCGTCACAGTTGTGGCAATGGTCACCGACTCAATTGTGCATCGCGGTGCATCGTACACCTTGGACGTTTGACCTCTTCCAAAGGGCGCATAATCCAATGAACTGAACACCGGCCTCCAATTGATTGCACTTTTCACGCACTGCCACGGAGCCTTGCGGGTCAGGCTTTGACTAACCGAACGCTACGGTTGTGAATTCCTCAAGAAAGCTCACCTGCCTTGGTCTAGGCAACATGGTAGCATGAAAATTTCGCTTTTTTATAAATGTTATTGTACTTTGATTTGTTTGGCACAGTCTGGATTCAGACTTGCGTGAAAATACAAATGAATGAGTAGTGAGACGCAGTCTCTTGTTCTCTTGGTTGAGCTTTTGTAAACGACATTCAGGTGCTTGTTCTCTGTCCAGCTACTCCTCCGTATGTATCTGATTCCTTAGAGTATTTCATTCTGAAGGGTTCCGTCATTGCAGACCGACCATTGTGTATAAGTTGTCCTTCAAGAAGGTCCCTGGGAAATAAATGTGGTAGATTTCATACAAATAGCTTGATATCGCTTTAAGCCTTCACATTGCATTGGGCCTCAACTGGTGTGGAAGTGTCCCACATAGATTGACCAATGTAGAACGATCGAGTTTCCCTGAAGCAATCGCCTAAATAACCACTGATGCATTCTTGCTTAAACTTTGATACAAAACTATCGGTTAATAGGTGGGCATTAGGAAATCACGTGATGGCAAAATAACAATAGTCCATTCGCACTGAATCCTCAACAAATATGGGGAACAACTGATGGCGTAGCTAGTGCTACGCAGATCGTTTGCCTTCGTGGATGTTAGGTTGCCTGAAGCGAAATCTCGATTGATGTTTGTTCAATGGAACTAACTGATTGCTCGTAGTAAAGTGAACTGCTGCTACTATCACCCACAATTGAGTTCGTATAGGTTATGATGTAACTCTGTGTCCTGCTTCTAGGACTTCCGATTCGAAGAATATTACTGTGCCCTCCCACAATTATTTATTTTGCTCTCTTATGAAACCGTGTGTTGCACTGGTTACATTATATGCCATCGATCAAACGGGGAATTCGTGGTGGCGGGTGACCAAGGAAATCAGAATTGAAAAAGTTACATTTTTCCTCCTCTTGTGATTGCCAAACTTTAGTGACTCCTCCGAGATGACGCCAGCCAAGCGTCTACGCGTTCCAGTTTCCGGACATTGGACCATAGGCCAATAGTATTGATCGATCAACAGGTTTACATTTCAAACAGAACCCGGGTGACCTGAAAATTGAGGACGGTGATCGATTGATATCCCTTTGACCAGTGATATTTATATTTACACAATATTTAATCCCATTGATTTCTCGCAGTAAAGGAACCGCTACTTCTGTGGTGTTTTTGCTACCTATCGGTGACGGGAGATCCCAGTGTACGATTGGTAGCACGACTGCGTGCTTCATTTGCGACCGTGATTCGTGATCCGTACCTATTCCGATTACTGCAATTTGGTGTCGCGTAATGGAACTGTCAGCTGTAGAGTAACTGAACCTGCGTGCCAGTTCGCCCGATATCGAGGAATGGGTACAGCGGTTTGGACTGTGGTGCAGCATTCGCAAAGGTGGCACACAGAATCAATCGGTCCTATTTCTCGATGCGGGCAACTGTGACCTCTATTCCCTGCTAAAGAACCTGCCATTTCTCGAGGCTCCTGCAAAACCTCCATACGGCTCTCTGAAGTAACTGTTGCTGGATCACCTGTTGCTCACTGAGCTCCAGGCAAAATTCAGTTCCTTTGTACGTGCCAAAATACATCTTTTGGTGATTTCCTCCCCCAGTTGAACAAGCAGGCGGCACGTTGTGATAACGGCGTTCCACGTGTCGATTACGAAATGCGAAATGTCATGAGTGCGGGATAATTGGTCACTTATGGAGAATGGGCAAGCAACCCCGCTGTAACCCGAGACAGCTACCGACAGAGCAAGACAAGCCCTGTGTTCATATTATGAACCTTAATCACATAAAGATGTGATATTACGCTCTTACGCACAGCAGAAATTCATTTTTGGAATAGAAAATATGTAATCTATCCTTTGTTCTGAAGTATTACGATCGATATGTGCCGAAGCCGTAGTTCATACAATGTCCATGTAGATTCGACGTATTACGCGTCACAATCTTCCAGTGGTAAAGGAATTGCCTTTATTTGTTCGATAAGCGGAAAACACCTTCATTCCTATTCACTTTCGCTAAAGGCATCCAATTCATATTGGGACTGAACGCCATACGTAAATTGAACCAATCTGTGTCACTGCATACTTGCAAACTACCAACTATTCATACCCAGCGGCGGTGAGTGATTGCGAATAATCAGGCGTATGTGCGTTCAAACTTGTAGGTTAAAATGCAATGGTTGCCTATAGTTGTGCACAGCACCACATCACGCTTACTGGAACGGTGCAGTAGAGAACTAGATGATGACGGAAAGTGCTGTTGCATCGGAAAACTGGAGGACTACGTCAGAATATGAAGAATTGTTGAAAGATTTCCTAATGTAATGCGGGAGAACGGCGCACGCCAAAACACTGGCCAAATCTCAAAGATCTCGTTTATCAATGCATCGTGTTTACTCGATGAAGGATGCGGCAAATCCTCAACACCGAATAAACCAAATCCATTACAAGGAGCCAGTCAGTCCTAGCAAGGATTCCACCTATCCGGAGCTGCCATATACAGAGATCTTAAGCCAGTAAGTTAGTGCTTCCGGAGAAGTTGCTTTGCTGGGACCACGATTCATCAGAATAGAGAGACAAATCGAAGAAGCTCTTTTGCATGGACAGTTGTGGTCAATCAACCCTCCAAGATCATGCTAGCCAAGGAAATCGGGTCATATCGCATAATGTTTTGTGGCTCGGTGTGTATGGTATTCCCTTTGTTTTATCCAGATGTATTGGTTAAAACTGGCTCAACAGTTTGATCACAGAAGCTACAGACAAAACAAGGCAGTTATCCTAGTTAGGTCTGTAAGCATACATACTCTACGTGGACGAAGTCTTGTTTTGTACGGATTTTGATCTGCGCAGGACCAGGCGGAACAGGAATAAAAATTGAATGGCACGTGAGTATGCACCAGCAGTTGAACACGCGGTTCATTTACGGACCGAAGTAATGCACAACCAAGCCGTACAATGACTGAAAGTCGCTGAAAACTAAATGTAACCGGACATCAGACAGTTGCACTGATGATTGAAACTGTTATTAACCAGAGTTCTGTGGTTTTAAATGGCATACTACACACACCTTAGTGAAGTTCACTTCCAATTTGGGACGTTTTACGTTGGACCTATAGATTATCAAGAAGATGTCAGCCGTGGGTCACATAAATGATAGAGAGGAATTCCGAAGGAGCGCATTTGAAGCGTACTGCGCAGTTAACGGTGACAATAATCTAAGGAACAGATGCTAAATAACCCAACCTAGTTCTGAAGGCAGATAGAGGAGAAACGGTGTGTGTGTGCGTGTTCAAAAAAGCATTTTTTATTGCGTTTTTTGATTGAAATAGCGCGATCAGATCTGGATAGATATAGATGTGAATGGGATGAATAAGGAATAGTTTCAATCTGCTCATCCTGATCCGCGTCACTCGTTCGCAGTGTACGGTCCGGTTTTTTTCACAACTGCTTTCAGGATTTGTCCTTTCAGATACTCATTTCGTCTGAGTGACTGCAAAAAGTAAAACAAATCGATATGATTTAAAAACAGAGAAAAATGAAACTATGCGCTTAACAGTAGATTTGTGGCATTACAATAGGCTCTCCCATTTAATGGGATGATCTCAACGATATAATTCATCTGTTTATGCTTTATGTAGTTTAGAGTGACAAATCGATCATACTACCATAATGTTGACAGTAGTCAAATATGCGATCACAAATTGATCATTCTTTGTCAAAGAACTAAACGAATACATTACCTTGGGGCTGAATGACTTTTTCGCGACAAGTCGTTTTCGGAGTTGTCCGTGCATATACGGATTGGCCTCGATGCTCTGAAATAGACGGAAAACTAATTCGGTTGGAGAGTTGCAGCAACAATAGTTACCAAAACACATGATTCCTGAGGAACAGGATAACTCTTAACTGACAGTTAAATAAAAATCCACAGAGGGAAACCGTCGAATGCCATTTGACCATCTTTGATCAAAACCTGTAGCGCAAAATAAATGTGTTAGTACTATTTTTGAGTGCAGATTAAATTTATGCATTGTTAATCAACGCAGGAACCCTTTCAAACAATGTGCGTTCCAACAGACGTCCATTTTTCTCCTAACTGATTTTGTTCCCGCGCACATTTTGTGTATTCACATCACCTTTTTCTTTGTCAAAGTGAAGTGTTTGATAATTTGAGCAAAACTTTTCAGAAAGCACTTTAGATGGTAGATTGAGAACAATTCTGGTGTGCACGAAAGCGTCTTACGATGATGTTCCAAGTTAGAGGTAATAAAGATTTTATGAAAACATGGCATTTGACTTCATTTGATTTTTAATTCCCGAATACAGAGCGTTAATTCTTGAAGTCGAACTGTTGCTCATATCGCATGAATCTTTCACATTTTCCTATCTTCTCGAACGCACAGAATCAACTGAGCTCCCATGCTATTTCTCTTTAGCTAAATATTGGAGCACCAATGTTACGGTTTTTTAGTATGTTCCCTTCAATAATGTGGGTTTTTCCCCTGACTCCGTTGCGCCTTAAAGATCTCGCCGTGTTCTGTGAATTTCAAGCACTCTTATTCTGCCGTAAATTTGGGTCGCTTAGAATAACACTATACAAATATAAATTTCTGATTAGTCCCTATGGCTACCAATCCTCAACTTTCTTATTGTTGACAAGCTTTCCATATTGGTTTATTTAAAGCTTTCGATGATGTGTTTAAATCACACAGCCACATTTTACCACCACATAATCATTACAAAACCTATACAATTGTGTTCCTCCAATCCAAGTGAACTATAAAAATGATATAGTTGTAATATAGTGTTAATTTTGTAAGAGCATTCAAACATTTGATGTGTATGACAATGAAAAATGAATAAAGTGATGTAGATGCCTCCATAAATATATAATCACAGCCTTATCACTTCATGTATTCCGATAAAAGTAATTTTCTTGATTCACCTGCATCCGGAAGGTTGCCAGCAACCAATGTGATTCTTCAACAGTAGTCATAAACATTAATTTACAAAACAATAAATCGATATTCCGTTGGCCATGATATCTTCTCGAACCATCATTGATGGTGTTTATGGTGTTATCAGTTTGACAATAGACAATTTTAAGTCTTAGGGTTTTGCAAAAATTATACTGGTCATGCGTCACTTTACTTTTTTGTGATTCACTATGTGAACTAGAAACTAAGATCACCGGAAAAAGGAGCGATCATATCGTATTGTGACTTGAGTTTCGCGGTCAAGTATGAAGAGAACGAAACACAAACTCCAAAGCTTTTTCGGTTCTTCTGTTTATCATGTCTAGTTTGCACGTTCTTCTTGAATTCAATCAAAGTGATAAAGCTAAGTTGCTTATATCATATCACAGTGTTTGACTCAATGTTTTCTTTATTGCTGAGCAACAAACAGAGTTCTTCATTTCTCTGATCCCATTCATTTGAGAAGTATATTTGCAATGTACATGTAAAACAGCCTGTCTAGATTAATGACCATACAGAATGCATACATACACTTACCGATTGCGGCCAGTCCATCAAAGGTGAGTATGCCAACGGTCGACTGGCTTCGTATGAGCAGGAATTCATGTGCTCCGTATCACAAATACACTCTCCACTGACCATTTTACTCAAAATCAAATCCCTATTCAATTCCATCGTGTATTTCGAGTAATTCGGATCACAAGGAGTGGGCAAACTTTCCGGATCATAACCGATCGGACAGGGATTTGGTGGATCACAGTAGGCTGGTAAAGTGTCATTTTTAAACGGGCGCCCGTGATTGATCTGCGCAATCGCTTCAGCGTCCGTGTAATCTGTCAATGTGTTAGCGGAATCGTCCGCGTCCGATTCTTGACGCTCGGCTCCGAGTAGTGCGTAATCTAACCACTGGCCGGTTTCACTCGAGCCTCCGGACACTTTGTGTTCACCCCAGAGAGGATTTTGTTCTGCCACCTCTATACGTCTAGAAGAGATTTCCGGTCCCTTGAGGTTTGCGACTTTGTCCAAGTCCGAGGCGCTCTGACGTTCGCTGTAGAATACATCTTGTGGAAAGGCGGATTCAAACTCCTCTGTGTCATCATCGCGTTGGGCAGCTAGTCTTCGAGCATTGTTCAAATCCTTCATAAATGTCTGCCAATAGTAATCGTCAATACCTTCACGGAATCCAGGGGATTCATGAAGAATAGGGTGTCCATTAAGATAGTCGTTTGAATTCAGGCGTTCCAAAATGTACGAGGCACGAGGGTTTTCTCTCAAGAATTGATCATGAACAGATTGACTCTCTGCAGCCAGCTGAGCAAAATAGTTGTCATAATTATGTGCACCACACTGATTGTAGAAAACTGAGCTCAACAGAAGTGTTAAAATTACCTGCGAAATGATAGCATACAAATATTTTTAAACAAAAAAACAACAAAACCTACATAGTGAGTTGTTTTCATGTTATTCAAAGAGTGTTTCAACTACATTTACCGAACAATCGTTGATTCCCGACTGCTCACGTAAAAGTGGGAGACTGCCTCACCTAAGTCGGTCCGTCCCTTTTTAACTCCATAGAATCGACCGAATCGTCCGCTAATCGATAGACGCGGGTACTGTTTGCGCTCACTCGCTTTCCCCCATCCCTTCCTGTTCTCAGACCCACTCAATAAAAGGTAATCAATCACTGAGATGCGGACATACGAAATAAGCCAATCCTGGGTAGAGCAATGCCCATTTTCTTACCAGTCTATTGGTTTGAGGACAGTCTATTCGCAGCGTTCTACGGAACAAGGAATGAAATGCTTGCGTGTCCATGTGTGACGCTTAATGTGGCAAAAGGGAAGGCAGTAAAAACAACAAACACGTTTGAACACACGCAAAATCATTGTTGTAGGCCAAAGAGGTTCTTACCGAAGTTTAGCGGGGCGTGGTTGATGGAAAAACATTCTCGAGAGAAGGCAACTCGAACGAATCGAGTAGGTTTTAAATCACAGTTATTGAATATTCTCCTGCAATAAACGACGTTAAAATGCGCCGTGCATTTCACGATTTCAGTTAATTGGAAGTTGGAGAAATGAGAAGAATGTGGATTTTGGAATCAAATGAAGAAATATACGAAAATAATCCGATTCACTGTCTTCCACTATGCACTCAGACTTTATCTTTTCCAATGTGTCAAGTGATGATTGATTTAAATGTATTCTGTAGGAAACACGAAGATTAATTTTAACATGCGAACAACATGACACCAAAGAATGACAGACGTATTTGACCGTTTGAGCAAGACTGAATAAGACTGAACAACCCATACACCATACAACAACACTTATCAGATACTCGTTGAAAAGTTGCTCCAAATGTGATATTGTAAGTGAAATCCACGCTGCACTTCATTTCATTAATAAATGTGAGTATTTTATTGGGCACAATTTGATATTAGCAGATTCAAGTCCAAGAGTCTGTAAAAACGCGATATGGGAATTAACCGCTAATTAGTCTAATGACATGAATGTGCTTGAGTGAGAGTTCAATTAAATTACCATTCTGTTTTCTTGGGTAATCCAACAGCTTGGCCGGACAAGGAATGGTAAAGTTATGGTTCACCGTGGTGCGTGTATAAGATCAAACAAAGTTATTTCCTGTCACCAGGGTGAAAATGGAGCACCAAGGAGAAGTACGTGAAAGATGGGAATTATTATAATTTATTGCCTTGAACAGCCGATTACGTGAAGAACTTAGGATTTACTAAAAACTCCATAGTCAATGAGTAAGAGGTATCACCAGGCTTAGAGATACGTTTTGAAGAACGCTTGCTCTGAGAATCATTGCAGGGCAAACCTAGGGAAACACTATGAGAACAATTAATCCACTGATGAACGGTACTCAAGAGACGAGGGATTTTATTTAACACACGCGGTGGAGGTTTCAAAGAGCACAATCTAGAGGTGTAAAATACATACTTTCTCACCTTAAAGAAAGCCTACGGAACACGATGAATTTGTCGGAGTTGTTTTAGAAGAACAAAATAGTGAATATTGCTCCGGGGTAACTTACAACAAGAATATATATACNGGGGTAACTTACAACAAGAATATATATACAGTTAACACCAATCGTCACAGATACGGCAGCAAAATAACCATTTGTTAACGAAAGATATGGGTACAGAAGCAGAGAAAACAAAACAGTTAACTTGAGGAACAACAATTTTTATTTGTTTACTGTAACCATTTTGGCTTGTTCATTTTTGTTTAATTTTTTGGGATTGCAAACAGGAAAGGGTGCATTCACGCCACTGACTTCAGTTTGATGCCATATCCCGTAGTGTCTCTAGCCAAAGACAATCTGAATCTTCGGGGCCCCAGCCAGGGAACCGCGAAGCCCCAACGGAAGTCAGATCCGAGAGCAATCTCT